CTTCCTTACCTGATTTTGGGTAAGCAAGTGTAATGACATCTCCATCCCTCACCACAAATTCATCCTGCAAGGATTTTAAGATTTCAATACCGCATATGTTGTTGGGGAAAGAAATTCCCTCAAACCACAATCAGTAGCCATCCCAAAGACACCTGCCAAGCTTGGCCTTCTTGTTCCAGTATTAGCGGTCTTAGAAGCAGTTGGCTCTCTGTTCTGGTGCTGCTGGAGACACTTCTTTAAGAAATTTGATCTGGGTGCAAATGATAGAGAGATTATACAGAGGAATCCAAGGTTTGCTGAGGTTTCCTTCCTGGTTCTCAGTTATAAAAACGGGGAGTGTTAAAGGGATGGATTTCTAGTCAATGAGAATTAGCTAGAGTAATTATTAGCTGACTCAGAGTACTTTCTGATGTTACAAGGTCAATAAACAAGCAGAGGATTAATGAATGATAGGTGTGCTTCCAAAATAAAGGAATTTTGAAATCATAAATGTTAAATTTGTGCTCTCATCCCCTATCCTGTACTTATCCTCAGTCTCTGGGGACTTTTTCCTAGGACACCAGCTTCTAACTGACTAAATTTTGAATCCACCACATTCAATGCTTTGTCTATAGCCCATGAAAAAAAAAAATGGGATTCCAATCACAGAAATACTTTAGATTAATATAATATTTAATCTGGAAAAAATGAGTAAGCCATATTCAGAAATGTCCCGAGAAGTTTGCCTAACATTTACTGTTGATGAAATTGGTAGAATTTTTAGCATCCTCTAATGTTAAATATTCCGCTACTCATTTACTTGCATAACTTTTCTAACTCCAACTATTTCCAGGTTCTTGGATGCTGATTCAGTGGGGTCAGCCTAGTTCACATAAGCCTAAATGACACTGGCATGCTGTGAATGCAACAGTTTTATGCAATTATTTCTATTTCAGAGGGACTTAATCCTTGGTTCAGACTGATAATTAACTGCAGAAATTTGAACACGAAGTTTTTTCTCACATTTCATAAGGCTTCACAATAGATTAATTTTGTGTTTGTATGAATATTTAACATGGAAGAACACAGAGGTTTTTTTAAAAAAAGTTGGTTTTGAAGGAGAAATAACCACATACTGTTGTTATTAAGTGTTCATTTATTGAAGATATGATATGACTAAAATAGGCTCACTGTGTATGCCCAAAGGCTGGTCTTTGGGACTCATTTGGGCACTGAATGGCCATGTGTGTTGCCTGGTTGCTGGTGTGGACAGCGGAAGTAACATGGCAATTATAGCAAAGACAGAAATTATAATTAAATCTAGTTTGTTACATTGAGGGAGCATTGTCTGATAAGGTTTTTTTTTTTTTTTTTTTTTTTATCCAACCACATAAGATGTTTCAGGGCAATGTTGGTAAGGGTATAGCAGGCTTTGTAAGACCATACTCAGGGGATCCCACAAACTGAGAGAACTTCCTCTTGAACAGGAAGTCATTTGCCATCAACTCAACTGCACGGAACTTGAAGAACTAGCAAGACTCATGGAGCACCACTCAGTGGAAATGTCCAGGATTGGTGCTTCCAGTATGCTCTATTTAAAATCGCTGTGGAGTTCATCACACCAAACTGAAAATTCTATACCACCTATGTAACCAAATGCTTATGTTGACCAATCAAATTGTATGGTGCAAAGCACTGTGTATGCAATACTTCATTTCCTGTAAGGAAATGGAGGCTCAGAAAGGTTGATGGCTTTCCTTTAGCCACCCAGTTACTAAGTGTAGTATCAAGGAGAAAGGATGTTTTACAGTAGGTCATGCTCTTATTTATTAAGGAAATCTGTGGATCTCTCGTCAGTCCACAGGGAATTCAGGATTCCACTGAAATCGCAGTGGAGGGATTCTAATGTGAACTAGGTGGCCAGGGAAGTGCTGCCTGGGGACTGATAATTATATTGAAGATGAGAGTATACATTGGATTTGGCCCAATGCCAGTGTGGGAAGGGATTGCTGCTTCCAGAAGGAGTAATAGGAGTACTCACTACTCTGTGTTCTCATGATACCTTTCCTCACCCCTCCAAACAATTGGAAACTTAGTCACAGGAGTCCGAGTTCGGAGTTTACCACTAGGGACTGCCAGAGATGGTCTTCGGCCGGACATTGAGTCCAATTTCTGTCCAGAACCTACCTCTTTGTGCTCTGGTTGTGTCCTGCCTGGATTACTGTCAAGGCACATGTAATGTGTTTTATACCTCTTACTGACATTTGTGTGTGTGGTGACGATGTACACAACAAAACCCTTACCAATTCAACAGTTTACACAGTGACATTGATTACATTCTTCGTGTTGTGCCATGATTATCACACTCCTTTTGTGAACCATTCCACCCCCATGAACATAAACTCAATGCCCCCTAAGCAAAAACTCCCCCTTTCCCCACGCTTTCACCCATCGTAGCCACTAATAAATGGGTTCTATGTATTTAATTATTTCATATTAGTGAGATTATACAGTATTTATGCCTTTGCAACCAAATTATTTCTTCCCTCAGCATAATGTTTTCAAGGTTCATCTATGTTGTGGCATGCATCAGTACTTCAGTTGCCTTTTACTAGCTCTTAAGACTCTGTATTGTTCTCATATGTGTTCAACAACCACACTGTGGAGTTTGGTGAAGCTATCATTTATAGCACTTGCCTATTTCCATAGTGTAAATATTCCCATCACAGTAGATTTCAATCTACTAATGTGACATCACTGAGTAGGGAATTGAAAAGAGATGTGCATTACCATGCCATTATGTGCATTTCCACCATACAGATACAATAAACACAAAAATTCTCAGGAGAATGACTAATAGTAAAATGATTTAAAAAAAAAAATCCGTCGTAGTCGAGTTGATTCCAATTCTTAGCAACCCTATAGGATAGAGTAGAGCTGCATCATAGGGCTTCAAGGAGCGGCTGGTAGATTTGAACTGCCAACCCTTTGGTTAGCAGCCAAGCTCTTAAGCACTGGACCACCAGGAAGTGATAAATTTTGCATATTTATTATCTTCGTTTTGATGTAATTTATTTAGCAGCAAGTTTTTCTAATTTAATTTATAGGGATGACTGCATTAAAAAAAATTTCAAGTAGGGAGAAAAGGTGGCTATTTCACTTTTGTGTGCTCAACTGTGTACAATTCTGGTTCATTTTGTGTTTGTCATAAGGATTTAGATACATGAGTAAGTGGTGGAAATTAAGTTCTATTTTAGCTACTACCTGCCTCCCCCCCCCCAGGCTGTAACCAAGCTCTTTAAACAGGAGATTATGCAATCTTCCTGGGAAGTTCTTCCATTGCTGTTGTGGTTGCTTCATCAATGACCTTATATTTCATTTTTCCAAGGTAGGTTTTTGTGCAATGAATCCTGACAGCTCCATATCTTATAATGGCCAGTTATTCCAAATAATTAAAAACTCTATGAAATTGTAAATAAGTAATTATCACCCACAAAGCAGGATAATAAGGAAATGATTAAATGTGCATGTCTTAGTCTACCCCCAAGTGGATGGAAAATTATTCTACTTAAAAAGTTTCATTTGTGTGTGGAAGCTGACATTTGCTGCTTTGTGTTTTAAAATATTTAAAATTGTGAATTAAATTTATTTGAGTGGTTTTTCTATAATGTAAACTAATTAACCAACTCAAGTAAAATACCCTTCCAGGCTTCATGTTTAATAAAGACTTAATTACTATGAACAGGTGTCAAAAAAACTAACGAAACAAACAAAATCAACAAGCGCATAAGGAAATCAGTCACCGTAAGATCCGATAGATAAACATCACCATCATTTCAGCAAAGGTATCAGAATTTAGAATTAAAGGATTTCAAATATAAAATTAGCATTTTAAATGTATTTAAAAGTATAAAAGATGGAATTAAAAGAAGGAAGATAGAGTTTCTTTGGGGTGGAATCCCTTTCTTCTGTTCCCAGGCACAGCACTTCCCCAGTCAAACTATGCTAAGATTTATGGGTTTGGTAGCCAGGAAGAGAGCTGGAGACATTCCTGAGGAGGGTGAGCATTGAATTGTGATGCACACTCCTCACACGGTTCGTCTGCTTAGTCTTCAAACCAGTGATCCTTTTCTTTTAAGAAGTGGAGGGAAACACTTCTAAAGACCAAGGGAGCAAGAGGAATTTGACTCCTAAAGAATTACAACGCCATCTACTAAAAAAACCCTCCTTGGTCCTAGGGACAACTCTTTCCTTATCAGGGACCAGAATGGGTGTAGGAACCCTTCCTAGATGGGAAATTGAGCTTTGTTTGCGTTACTTTCCCTCTTCCACTAAAGTGATGAGTCTGGAATTTAGCTCTGTCTGCACTGTGACTGCAGGAGATGAATGTTTCTACAAATGCCTCCAAATACATTCCTTAGCAATGTAGATTGGTAATTAATGGGAAGTTTTATCTTTTTGGAAAGATGTCTCTTATTTGGCTGAGTGCCATTTTGCAGTGAAGAGCATAGCTGTGAGCTGTTAGCAGCTCTCATTCACAGCAATTAGAGTACAGGTGCAGGTTTGGTGATCTGTGTAGGCAGCAAGAGATTTTACTAAAGAAATATACACATTAAATAATGAGTAGTCCTGAATTGTGGTGAAACCCTGAAGGAAATGGAATTGGTGATGGTTACAGAACAAGTGTTGTCTATGGAACTAACTCTTCATTTCATACTTTATAAATAAGTTCTCAAAATGGCAAAGTATTAACTTTTATTTTTTTATCTGTTAAAAGAAGTACATGGGTTTTAAATATGATTTTATTATGTATGATTAAAATATTACATAATATTTTGAGGCTGATTCATAGAGTTGATAAGATATTAGGTTGTTTTCAATTATTGAATGTATAATTGCATTGTAGGATTAAAGTCTCCAGGATACAATTAGACAAATTATGCTTCATAAAAGCAATCCCCCACAGAAGTATATATATAAAGGAAGTCAGTATCCATGCCAGATTTGAAAATATTAGGCCATTATTCCCATGGGAAAAGCCCTTGAGGAAGTTCCCTCATCTTCTCTTGGTATATTTTATTAAAGGCTTCACTCTGAGCCACCGTGAAATGATTTTTCCAATCCCCAGTGATTCCTGTCAAATACCAAAAGTAAGACCAGGTCAGATTTCTAACTAGCATCTCAAGGCCTCATTTGAACTTCTCCAATACTAGAGCCTACTAACATCTAGTATCTGCCTCACAATATTGTGAGGACTAAATAGACATGACAGGCAACACCAACAATAATAATAACTAAATGACAATTAGTAATTCTTTTATGTCAGACTTTTTATTTCTCTTTTTTTAGGATTGCACATGTATACCTCATTTAATACTCTCAACATCTTTTCAAGATAGGGGCTGTGTTTTCTCCATGCCACACTTACCCTGATTTGCTCATACAGGTAGGTACAAATGGTGTTCTTGCTCCTCACACTTGCCTCCTGATCATCCTTTCTTTTTCTTTTTTACTCTCCACCTTTGAATCTCAGAGCCCCCAACTACCAGGATATCTCACTGTTGTAGCTTTCTATCATGCCTCAGGTCAAAACCCCTCATTCAATGAAGATTTTAGCTCATAGTACACTGGAACACTCTTGATAACAAGTATAATAAAAATTCTTCGTGATTTCAATTTCTAGATTATGCTTCTTCAAATACGCTGGTCTCTGTTCCTTGATTATTTCTCTTCCAATGACCTTATGCCCCATGCAACCCAAAGTTACATGCTGTATCTTCTCATTACTCATTCTTCCTCCATGATCTGACTTTCACATATCCCATTTTCAGAATATCAGCTTCTCCACTCCCTGATCATTCACGAGCACATCAGTTTCTCCAATACTTCAACTCCACTGAGACCCCTAATCTATTGGTTCTACCTCCTTTTCACTATCTTGCTCTCTCCTCATGAATTAGTTTACTTCATTAACCAGACTAAATGTCAAAATTGATTATTGTAATTACTCTTGCACTTTCAGCTCTCTTGCCCTCCTCGTTGTGTAGAATTTATTTCATATTATACTAAGTTAAGATAAACCCAACTTGAAACAAGACAGGACATAATACAGACAAACCTGCTGACTGGTCTTTCTTTAAAATTGTGACCACTGAAACCCAATCATGATGCCATAGTGAACATACCCATTTATCTTGCTTTAACTTCAATAACTTCTCCCCATTCTGTTTCTAAGCTGATAACCTTGACTCAATTGTGTTGATACAATGGAATCAATCTGAAGGTAACTTCCGTGATTTCCTAGCAATGTAACCACCCATGTATCTATATCTGAAGATTCAAATACTTCCCTTGTGCCATGTCTTGAGGGTATCAATAGAAGCAGGTGAGTTGTCTGGCCATTTCTTCATGTTCTAAAATCAGAAAACTCTCTCTTACCTTTTCTCATCAATTTCCCTTTGCTGTGATCCATAAATTCGTCTGCTATTAGGGATAAATTGCTCATTTTATTATCTTTCATGACCTCGAAAGATACGTGCTTGAGGACCGAGTTGAGTTCTTCTGAGCTTAGCTTCTTGTCCAAGAAGTGGCTGATCCTCTCTACACTGGCCCTTATGTCCTAGAATAAGAAACACAAAGGAGAGGACATGAAGAAAAATACAACAGGGATAGAAGAACAACAAGCATAGGAAGGGCAGGACAATGATGAGGTGGATAAAAAATGAAAAAAAGCATAAATAGAATGAATTGTTTAGGCTCCTCTGAAAGGGGATAAACACTGGATAAGAGTACATTGGACAAAAAGAAAATAAAGGTTAGTTGGAAGAAATGAGATGAAAGTATAGTAATGATGCCGAGAACAATATTGAACTCCTCTGTGCCTAAGTCCATGTCACTCTAGAAGTAAGAGGGAATTGTCCCAAATTTTCAAAGACAATTTCCAGATGGACTTCATATACACACAAATTTATTAGAGATAAGAAATGCACTCCTTACAGATAGAACTCAATTCTCGATATGATACTTGTTTTTAAGTCATGGCTGTAACACGTAGTAACACAGTTTTAAATAACTTTCATTTGAACAGCACATCAAGTTTTACAAAGCATGCTTACATATTATCAGAAGGATTAGCGCATGTACCATCTGAGAATGAGAGAGAGGAGGGCTTTTATAAGACAAAAATCTTTAAGGCCAAGTACACTGTTTAAATCCCACCTGTGATGCAATGAGTTCCTTTGTGTGGCCCTTTGTCTTGGTTCTTTGGAAAAAACAGCTTAGGAGATTTTCTCCCTTAGCCCTGAGGAGTTACTTTTGCCCTAGTTCTTAGAGAAGAAACTTGGGCGAAGGGGTGTTGATAGATTTTTTCCTAACACAGAGGATTTGCTACTTTTGCCCAGGGGATTTCCCAGGTTGATCAACATTTCCTAGGTAAGTTATAAACAACTTGATGGTTTGATTCTTTTGTGTAGTAATTAACAAGACCTGAGTAAATAAACACCTCATGGTTAGTTGAAAATTGATTGAACTCTGATGTGGTGAGGGAGACCCCACCTTGTAATGGATGAGGATTGGGATATATAAATGGCTGAAACAAAGAGGTTTGAGAAGACTTCTGGCTGAGAGAGAGATGCTGGCTAAGAGTGGACTGGGAGAGAAGCAAAGCCACATAGGATCGAGTGGCCCTATAATGGTACACTAGCTTTGAGCTGGGTCAGTTAACAGAGGCGAGGTCAACGGCAGAGAGCCAACAGCAGGTAGACTTGACGAGGTAAAGGCCTGCCACCAGGGAGCAGCTAAGACAACTGAGCAAGCCATTAGATTGGCTGTGAACTGGGCCAGTTACCAGTGGAGAGAACTACAGTGGAGAGCTGCTGGTAGAATGACCTGACAGGCAGAGGCTCACTAAAGAGAATTGTTGCTAGGGGAGCAGCAGCTGAGATAGCTTAGTGAGCTGCTACACTGGCTATGAGCTGGGCCAGTTTTTGACAGAGAAGCCAATGGACCTTGCAACAAATTATCGAACCCTAAAGAAGTAGACAGTGCCGGGGGAGGGGAACGTCTGCTGTCAGAATTTAGATTATTGTGATATGGCATGAGAGAGAGTAAATTTTTTGGAAGAATGGCTACCTGATGCAGCTCCTCATATGAAATTATCAGGAAATTCTCTTTTCCTCTCATTGACAGCCAACCATGAGTATGGTCAAACCATGATCCACAGAACACTGCAAGTGAATGGGAGGAGAAAAGGAGACTGTATCATTCACTCTTGTGTGCTCATTTGCTTGTATAATCTGGCTCATTTTGTGTATGTTTAAATATTTGGGGAATAAACAAGTGAGTTGTGGAAATTCTCTTCTTTTTACCTTATTTCCACGAAGAATAAAGGTTTCCGCTGAGTTCACTGTGTGTCAGGGAAAACCCATGTATATCAAATTAGAACTGTCTGATAGGGCTTTCTTTTTCTTTTTTTCCATTTTTTCTTATTGTGTTAAAAATATACACATTCAAAATTTGCCAATACAACAATTTCTACATGTATAATTCAGTGACACTGATTATATTCTTCAAGTTCTCAATAATTGTCACTATCCTTTTCCAAATTATTTCACCATCATTAACATAATCTCAATGCCATCTGAGTAAAAACTCCCCTTCCCCCTCCCTCCCACCCTCGGTAACTGCCACAAATCTTTGGTTCCCATATTTGCTTATTTCCTATAAATGAGATCATACAGTATTTGTTCTTTTGCAACAGACTTATTTTGCTCAACATAATGCTTTCAAGGATCATCCATGTTGTGACATTTCATAGGTTTTCAGTGACTGATTTTTTCTTTTTCTGGGAGTAGGTCACCATACTTTTCTCCTGAAGCCCTCTGGGTGGACTCAAACCTCCACCTTTTTGGTTAGCAGACAAGCACATTAATCATTTGCACCATCTAGGGATTCCAATAGCAGTTACTATGGTGTCAATTCCTACTGATAGAGACCTCATGTGTGTCAGAGTAGAACCATGCTCCATAGGGTTTTTTGGGTGATTTTTCAAAGTAGGTCACAAGGACTTTCCTCTGTTGTGACTCTGGGTGAATTCAAGCCTCTAATCTTTTGAAAAAAAACTGGGTGCTATGTAAGATAAAATATTTAAGGGCAGTTCCCCATCTACATGGAAGGGAAATTAAATTTGGAAATTTGAAGGGAATGAGTTGGCAAATGTAACAGCTAAATATGAACACAACTGATTTGGGAGTCACTGATTTTGTTATTTCTACAGTGAATATCATTTCTTTCTCCTACACTAGAACAATGATACTGTTGACAGAGGAGCACACCTATGTTCTTTTTGGCCTTCACCCATATCACACTGCTACCACGTATCCATATCACATATTGTGAGAATTTTCCTAAGATGTTCAGTCTATTCAGGAAACTCTGACTGGGGGAGTCATGTCCTAAGAGATCCTATCACTTGGATATCATTAATACATCCATAAAGGGACAAGTGACCCATGCCAATCAATACTTCCTCCCTGAAAACTTTTGTTCTTGGCATGAAGAAATTGTTGATCTCTTCATATATCTTGGCAATGATACGTAAGTCCCCTCATTCATGAAATGCCAGCTTTTTTTTTTTTAGGTCAAATGTACATAAAATAATAGCAATCTATGCTGACACCAAGATCAATAAAATTTTCAAACACAAAAACGCAGAGATTTAGGAAGTTTTCTTTGATTTCATGATTCCACATATTTCCATAAGAGATTGAATTGAATTTTTAAATTAGATTAATTGAGAAAAAATTGGCATTTTCTTAACTTCCTTTGTTTTGGAGATATCTTTTTTTAAAAATCATATTTAATGTTCTTTTAACTAAGAGTGTAACCTAACTAAATAAGGGCATTAGTTGTGAAGAAGATGGCCCAAATATCAAAGGGTAAAATAAATTGACTGACAAAATGGATATGATAAACTGTAAGCCAGACTTTGGCATCAGCACTTCAAACATCAAAATGAAAGGTATTTTCTACCTTGAGATAGACACCTAGAATTATGAGTACTAACCAGTTCTAGGAACTGTCTCAATTAAGACATCTTCAAACCCCATTTGATCAATAAGGAACTTGAGGCTCATAAAAATCATGCCATTCTTCCTCTGATAAACAGCTAGTAAAAGGTCAAATAATCAAAATTTGAACACAGACAGTGAAAACTCCCAGAGAGGAGAGCATTTGAGACAGAAACAGGCAAGATCATGCCAGTTAGAGGCATACTGTAATGAAGGAAAAATCATTGTAATTACATGCATAGTTACTTCACATGTGTACTATGGTGTCCCATAAGATGTCAGAAAATCGGATATGTGACAAAACTAAAACAGGAGTTTTAAAGTTTTATGTTGGTCATTACAACCACTTGAAAATAAATATCTTTTATGGAAACCCTGTTGCCAAACCTAAGGTACTCTTTAAAAATGATCTTTTTATTTGGAATCTAGGTTAAATCCCAGGATCTCTAATCTAATGTGTAATGCTATCCATGATCTTGACCATGCAGATACTATTAGCATCCATTACCTTCCCCAGCTGTTACTATATTTCAACTTTTCTCTTCTTGTACAATATCCTGTGTTTGTCCCCTCCATCTTAGTTCAGTGGTAGTAGAATGTGCACACTTTTTTCCACATGTTTATTTTTTTCTTTAACAATGGATTTCAGAGACCACTCTTCAGTAGTACAGCAATATTCTTTTCTTTTTTACCCTGGTGGTGTAGTGGTTAAGTGCTACAGCTGTTAATCAAAAGGTTGACAGTTTGAATCCACCAGGTGCTCCTTGGAAACTCTATGGGGCAGTTCTACTCTGTCCTATAGCGTCTCTATGAGTCGGAATCAACTTGATGGCAACAGGTTTTTGGTTTTGATGGTATTCCAGTATATAGCTGGTGGACATTTAGTTCTTTTCTTGGTTTTTGTTATTACAATTACAAATAAGGCTTCCTTGAACAGCTTGTATATCCATCATTGTGCATTTTTGCTCCTGTATTTTTTCCAGTGGAAAAGTTAGAAATGTGTATCAACTTGTCTGAGATTAGTATTGCAACTTCCACTCTTTTTTGGTTACTGTTTGCTTGATATATTTTTTCCATCCTTTGATTTTTAATATATTACGTCTTTGTGTCTAAGGTGTGTCTCTTGTAGACAGCATACTGAGGGATCATTTTTTTAAATCCATTCTGGCACTCTCTGTCTCTTTACAGGCACATTTAAGCCTTTTAAATTTAGTGTGATTATCAATAGATATGAGCTTATTATTATTGTTATTATTTTTTTTTTGAATGATGCTGACGTTTTCTTTGTTCCTCTTACTCTCCTGTGCAGGGTTCTTTTTGTTTGTGCATTTCTTTTCTTTGTTATTATGGATTTGTGTTTACTGAGACTGTTTTTCTTATTTTTTATTATGATGAGTAGGTTTGTTAGCTTTCTTTGTGGTTACCTTGAAATTTACTCTTAACTTACTAGGTTTTAAGCATTCTTTTATTACTTGATATTGCCTTGAATTTCTCTCCACTTGAAAATTTTATACCTACCCCATTTATTCCCCTTTTTATTGTCTTGACTTTGTTGTTATTTACATATTGATGTCTCTGTTTCCCTATTTTAAGTCTTTTAGCTTTGTTTTATTATTGAAATTTCTTTACCTAGGTTGGTATCTGGCTGATGCTTTCCGGTGTCCCAGACTCCAGTTGTTGTCTGATGTCATGGGGTCTCTAACTGAAGAACTCCCTTTAGTGTATCTTGTAAGTTTGGATGGGTTTTTATGAGTTTGTGCATCAAGTTGTAAGTGCTAATCTAATTTTGTTACAGTTTTCAAAATTACCCCAGATGGACTTGTACCATTTTTTCTTCACACCAACAATATATGAGTATGCCTGTCTACACAATATTGTGTGTTTTAAATATTTTGAATGCTTACTAAAGGATTTGTGAAGCATGGTGCCTCAATGTAATTACTTCAGTGTAATCAAATCCACATTCCCCTTAATTTGAATGTGGTGGAGTACCTTTTCATACTTTATCCTGATTATTTAAACATTTATGTTTGAATTTTTCTCAGAAATAATACAGTGGATGAGATGGGATAAGTTGGAGGGTGTAGAAGAAATAAGATTGTCAATTAATTGAAAATTTGCTGCAGTTGATGGGTATGTTAGGAGAGGGGTCATTATCACATTACCTGTTCTTTTGATAGTATTTTATATTTCCCATAATAAAAATTAAAAATTGTCGGCTGGAAATGTTTAAAAGATAGAGGTTCTGAAAGAAGGACATATATTTAGTTTAAGTTGCAGGAATTGACAAGATTGAAATATGCTACCACCGTTTAAGTACTGACAGTTATACAAAGCGTGAGACTTTTTTTCCCCTGATTTCTCTCTCCATACATTAGTCATTTTTTACATAAAACTAAACCTTTTACTTTGAAATAAATTTAGATTCACGTGAGGTATAAGAAAGAATACAGACAGATTATGATGTCCTTTCCTGAATTTTCCACAATGGTAACATCTTAGCTAACATTAGTATTCTAGTGTCTCAAACTTATACCGAGAGAATTTTCAAGACAGCAGAGCATGGAGATTAAGATCCTGCTGTTATATGGGAGGTGGTATGGATTTAACAAACTCCAGGTTTGTAAGGCTATGTGGCTGCTTAAACACTGAGATAATCAAACATGGACATGTTCTGGTTGTGACATGAGGTGCAAGACCCCCACCATTCCTTCCAGATCACTCATCTTGAGTGAGACTTACCATTTCCTTGGAGGAAACATTCAAGATATTGTTCAAATAACTCTGGAGTCTGGACACATTTCAATGCTTTGAAGAAATAATAACCAGAAGTAATAACATCTCTGGGATTTCTGATTACATAAATAACCTGAAGTAAAAAATAAATAAATAAAATAATGAAAATGAATGCACCCAATCCCCTATTCGTAAATCTTGACAAATGGTGAAAAAGCCAAACCTCAACAAATGCTTAACTGCAATTTGATCTTCTCCAACTCATTCATTTAACAAACATTATCTCAAGTACCCACTATGTAGGGATGGTTGCACAACAGCATGAACACAATGTCAATGAGTTGTACATGTAAAAAATGCTCAAATGGTAAAAGTTTTGTGATATATATATTTACCATAGTAAAAATCAATAACCCAAGAGAAATTCACAATTATATCCTCAGGGACTCTAAACATGAGAACCTTACTTTATAGTACCTGAAATTACACGTCAGAGTCTTATGGAGATGTTGACTGGGAAAGACATAGTACCCTTAGATGATATGCTTAGGGAAGTACAACTGAGTTTCATATGTGAGCACCACACCCACAAATCCTCTGAAATATAGGTGCTAATTTATAATTCAATTGCTTCCACCATGAGGAATTCAATATAAAGTACTTTTTCAGGGGTGCAGAGACATAATTAACTAATGAAGAATGGGAAGAAAGCCCTGATGATCTACTTCAGAAAATTATCCAATGAAATCCTTATGGATCACAACAGAATATTTTTCAATATAGTGCTGGAAGATGTGCCCCCTAGGTTGGAAGGACCTATGCAATAGCTGCAACAATGGACTCAAACGTTCTGACGATCATGAAGAAGGCACAGGACAGGGCAAGGTTTTGCTCTGTTATATATAAGGTCGCCATGAGTTGGAGCCAACGTGATGGCAACTAACAACAAAAACAATGAAGAATGAGTATCTATGGAGAAAAATCAAGGAGATAACCTAGTATATAATACTGTGGTTTGGAACAAGGTTTTCTCTTAGTTCACTTTCATGAATCACATTTAACTCTGTATGCAAAGGAAGGCATTTAAGACATAGAAGTTGTCAGTTCTGTCGTTGCAATTATTAGCTCACCTTGGCCTTGGAATGGAAGAGTGACTTGGGAAATAATTGAAATGGGAGGTGTGAAGAGTACATTCGTGGATCTTTCTGATTTTTTACCCTTTCATACCCAATTCTTGTTTCTATCCACGGTGAACGATTCCAGTTTAAAACAGACTGGACCCAGCTGGGATCTCCCTTGGAGTGGATGAGACTGATGATCTCTATCATCCAGTTGGTTCCTGGATAGAGAAGGAAAGACTTTGACGTACTTCATTCTGACTTTCAAACATGCCACAGCATTTAATTACTTCTTTATTCATGAAATACTTTTTGTCTTCCATGAGACCACACTCTTACTATTCTTGCTCCTAATGCTCGATCTCCTTGCATCCTCTTCATCTAATATTCAACATCTGATCCCCTAACCAATTTGTCATGTTTGACACGTAGGTAAAGATGCTCGAGAGTACTAGCTGGCAATGAAAAGGGAGAATAATCAAGTGGAAACTTCCATAGACGTTCATAACTCCACCAGAAGAATGAGATCTACCATCTTTCATGCCATTATTAACCTCATGGACGCAGTGTGTATAGATAGGGCTGGGAAGAAAAAGCGGATTCACTCTCAAGGAAACAGGCATTATTTTTTATATAAATCTGTCAAATATTATTTTTTCTCCTACTTAAATGAAACTAGGGCTGACCATGTGACTAGATTCCTGAAAGTAAGAGAAAACGTGCTGACAGGACCCAGGGGAGAAAATTTATCTTGTTCTTGTAAAATACATTCCTAGAAAGGAAAAAGCAATTCCATACGAAGCCATCTAATACTTTCCTTTGAATTATATAGGAGGACTTACTGTCCACAAATGCTGTAGCCCTATGGTACCATGATGAGTAACTCATTGTTATGGATTGAATTCAAAAATGAATTAAATTGAAATCAAAAATGCATATCAACTTGACTAGGCCATGATATCCAGTACTGTGTAGTTGCCCACCATTTTGTGATCTTGTGTGATTATCCTATATGTTGTAAATCCTAACCTTTATGATGTTAATGAGGCAGGGTTAGAGGCAGTTATGTTAAAGAGGCAGGACTCAATCTACAGGATTAGTTTGTATCTTGAGTCAATCTTTTTTGAGATATAAAAGAAGTGAAGAGAGAATGGGGACCTCCCACCACCAAGAAAAAAGAGCCGGGACCAAGTGCGTCCTTTGGACCTGGGATCCCTGTGCTGAGAAGCTCCTAGACTAGTGAATGATTGATGACAAGGACCTTCCCCCAGAGCCGACAGAAAGAGAAAGCCTTCCCCTGAAGCTGGCACCCTGAATTTGGACTTCTAGCCTCCTAAACTGTAAGAGAATAAATTTCTCATGGGTAACGCCACCCACTTGTGGTATTTCTGTAATAACAGCACTAGATAACAAAGACACTCACACAATCAGATTTGCCAGTCTGGAGACTGAATCACGGACCCTTAGAGCTAATGACATCAACATTCTTTCTCTAGACATTTCATTATAAAAGAGAGGAAAAGAAAAAAAGAGCATTTGTTTAAAATGTGTTACTCATGTCCAATTACATGCAGCTGCCTACACATACACTATTGCATTGATTTATTTACACTAGTCCTAACCAGACGAGCAGTAAAATGGATGGCTTGTCCAAACTGTTCTTAAGAAAACACACCAAAAATACAATGGACCAATAAACAAATGCAATTTTTTAGTGTTTACTTTTTTGTTTCTAGCTTAAATCCACTCACATTTCTCCACCTTTTATATTATATACCCAGTATATCCAAACTATGAAATCTCTTATTCTCTCTAATGCCAGTTCCAATAGTTATGCTTTTCTTCCAACTCTTTCTATCTCAATGTACAGCACCAACATTCACCTAGTTTTTGTGGTCTGGAATCTCGGAAATATATGTAGGCTTCTCTCTTCCTCAACATCTGATCAAGTTGTTCTCAACTTCAAGCAGTTGTACCACCAAAGGGACATTTTTCTATTTCTGGAGAAGTTTTTTTCATGAATGGAGTGAGTGTGTGCTACAAGTGTCTATTGGATAGAGTTCAGGATATGGTTAAACACTCTGCAGTGTATAGAACAGGCACCTAAATAATGAGTTATCAAGCCCAAAATGTCAATAGTAACAAAGCTGACAAACCTTGCACTATTCAATCAAAGGTCTAATCCCTTTGACATTGCCTAAATATTGCTCAATGTGGCAGAATTCTACCATTTCCTGTGTAATTCTTCGTCCTAATCACAGTCATTTCTTGATCTGCTCTGCAGATCTGATGTTCTTTTTTACTCTTATGCAGCACAATTATTCCTTCCACATACAGAGGCCCTTGTGATCTTTAAATGCATATTTAGTCACTTCTCCATTTAAAACCTTTCCGTGGATTTCCACTGCATTTAGTATATTTCCCTAATTCCTTAGGATGGTTTACAGGTCTACATAATTTACTATTTAAACACCTCTAACCTCACTTTCTGCCCCCTCTACCCTCACACTCCACAAAGCAATTATCCATGTCTTCTCAGGTCTTTGAATATGCCTCAGTATCTTTCAACTTTAGACCTTTACACATGTAATCTACCTTGTTCTGTTCCCACTTCACCTAACACCTAACACTTCATTGTAGACATCTCAGGGTAAGTGCTTTTTTTCATCCAGAAATTCTTCAGTAATGTGTCCTTTCTAAACAATCCTACACGAACACTAAATCATGAAATAGCATTCTGTCCTGTAAGGCCCCCCAAACTGTACAATACCCCATTTGTCACATCTCCTTGAATTATAAGTGCCTGTATTAATTCCTCTCTATGACTAAAAGCTCCATTAGGACATGCTTTGTCACACACACACACACACACACACACACATATATATATATAATCAAGTTTGAGGCAAAGAGAAGGCAGACAATTAGTAACATCATTCCACAGTCTTTCTCAATTTCATATCCTGCTTCCTTACCTGATTTTGGATAAGCAAGGGTAATGACATCTCCATCCCTCACCACAAATTCATCCTGCAAGGTTTTCAAGATTTCAGTACTGTGTACATTTTTCATGAAAGAAATCCCTTCAAATCTGAAATAATCAGTAGCCATCCCAAGAACTGCCTGCCAAGCTTGGCCTTGTTGTTAGCAGCTGACTCTGTTTCCTGGTGCTGCTGGAGGCACTCTTTAAGTTAGACAAATCTAAGTGCAAATGATAGAAAGACTGGACAGAACAATCCAAAGTTTGCTGAGGTTTCCTTTTCGTGTTTTATTTACTGAAATGGGGAGGATTATTGAGGTGGCTATCTAGCCAATGAGAGTCAGTTTGAATAATCATTAGCTAACTCAGAGTACTTTCTGGGGTTACACTGATTTTTTTTTAAAAAATATTACATTGATTTCAGCTGTATCCGAAGGTTAGTAAATATTCAGATGATCGAAGAAACATGGATATCCTTTCAATTGATGGGAATTTAGAAATCATGAATGTTAACTTGAAACTCTTAGTTCCTGCTCTATAATTATTCACATTCTCTGGATACTTTTTCCACAGTCACACAGCTAGTAATTGATTAAATTCTGAATCAGCCACATCCAGTTATTTGTCCAAAGCCCATAATAAATGGTGACTCTACTGATAGCAATAGTTTAGATTCTTAGACTATTTCTTCTGACAAAAAAGTATAAGCCATGTTAACATGTGATTCCAGTAGTGTTTTTAGTGTTCCTGTGTTGATGAAATTGGTAGAATTTTTAACATCTCTTTAGCGTGAAATGTGCTGTTACTCATTGACTCACACAATTGACTTACACAATCCCAACCATTTACAATTTCTTGGATGCTGAGATTTATGGGGGTCCGCTTAGTTCACAAAAGCCTAAATGATCCTGGCATGCTGCAAATGAAACAGCTTGATAAGGTGTAGGGTGGAAGAGCAAAGTCTACTCCTAGTCCATGTCCATCTCAGTGTGGTTAAGGAGATGTCTTCAAAAGCCATGTCTGATGCTCATTCAAGGAGTCCACACTTGCTGTCCAAGTTCCAGCACTGAACAGTAAGTGAGGAGCAACAATAAGAGTACGTAGTCTCCTTCATTTGTAATCATCTTTCTTGAGAATTTAAAAATGGATACGATGGGAAAATGCCAGCATGTGGGTTGCTCAGTGCACAATTCTGTCATCAACTTTTCACCCCAGATCACTTTTTACACTTTCCTAGTAACCTTATGGAAATAAGGTTTTGATCTACTGGTTTGGTGTCATAACTTTCTGTTGGGATGGGCTAGGGAAATGTACCAAGAGAAATCCATTGAAGGAATAAGAGTGGAACTCTACAAAACCTTTTCCTCAACCTATTCATCTCTTTCTATTATGATTACTACCCTCCTAGGCTGTAACAATCCTTAAATCTCTGTGGGAACTTCTTACATTGCTGTTGTTGTTTCATCAATGACCTTATATTTCATCTTTCCATGGTAGATTTTTGGAAACATCCTGACAGCTCAACATCTTATAATACTCAGTTATTCCAAATGATTAAAAACTCTGGGAAATTTTATATAGGTAAGTTATCACCCACAAAGTGAGATAACAAGGAAATGATTAAATGTGCATGTCTTAGTCTAGTTTCAAGTGGAGGGAAAATTATTCTACTCGGAAACATTTTGAGTGTGGAGGCTGACGTTTGTCATTGTGTTTTAAAATATTTAAAATTTTAGTTTAAATTTAGTTAAGTGTTTTTTTCTATAATACAAACTAATTAACCAACTCAAGTAAAACATCCTTCCAGGCTTCATATTTAATAAAGACTTAATTACAATGAACATGTGTCAAAACAAACAAAAATCAACAAGTGCATAATGAAATCAGTCACCATGAGTAAGATTCAAAAGAAAAACAGCATCTTTTCAGGAAAGATATCACAATTTAGAATTACTAGATTTCAAATATAAAATAAATATTTTAGATAGATTTAAAGGTATAAGAGGTGGAATTAAAAGGAGGAAGATGTAGCTTCTTTGGAGTGGAATCCCTCTTTTCTTTTGCCAGGCCCACCATTTTCCCAGTCAGGTTATGCTGAGCTTTATGGGTCTGGTAGCCAGGAAGAGAGCTGGGTGCATTCCAGAGAAAGGTGAGCATTGTATTGTGATATGCACCCCTCATTTGGTGCCTCTGCTTAGTCGTCAAACCAGTATTCCTTTTCTATTAAGAAAGTGGAAGGAAACACTTCTTAAGACTAAGACAGCAAGGGGAATTTGACTCTTTAAGAATTGCAACTCCAACAACTAAAAAACCCTCCTCATCATAGGGCCAACAACTTCCTCATCAGGGTCCTGACTTTGGCATAGAAGCCCTGCCTGGATGGGGGATTCAGCCTTCTTTAAGTTTCTTCCCTTCTTCCAATAAAGTGTTGAGTCTGGAATTTAGCTCTGTCTTCCCTCTGACTGTAGGCGATGAATGTTTCTTCAAATGCTGCCACGAAGGTTCTTTGGCTTTCACACTTAATACAGATTGATGATTAATGGGAAGTTTAACTTCTGGACAGATATTTCTTGTTTGACTGAGAGAAATTTTGCAGAGAAGATGTTTTCTGTGAGCTATTGTTGTCTCTGTTTACAGCAATTGGACTATGGGTGCAGTTTTTTTTTGTTTGTTTGTTTGTTTTTTTGTGGGTGAAAGTGTTGTGCGCCACTCCTGGACAGGAGCTTTATAGCCAGCACGGAGCTCTAGACAGAGGTTACTCTCTATTAGCCTGAGTCCCGGGAGGGAGGGAACATAAAGCAAAGCTAGAGCTGATATGTAGCGTAAGAGAGAAATAAACCTTGTTGTGGTGAGTGATTGAGATATAGGAGTTGTTTGTTAATGCAACATGACCTCACTAACTCACCAATTTATGGCATTTCACTTGAGAAGAGGTTCCTTTATAAGATCTCTGGAGATTTAGCAAGAGGAGTGGGACCTACCAACACACAATGTCCACTATTGTATATAGAATAACAGTAATATTTTTTCTTTTAAATTTTTTTATTATACTTTATTTTTTAAATTTTTTTTACTGTACTTTAGATGAAGGTTTACAGAACAGTTTCTCATTAAACAGTCAGTACACATATTGTTTTATG